TGTTCCAAACTCTAATCAGATCACATTCTGTAAATACCTAATCACCAAAATAGATTCCATCAAAAAAGGTAATCTTATTATAGGTGGGGACTTCAACATCGTAAACAATTCGCAAATGGACTCTTCTTTAGGCAAAAGACCCCTGCACCAGAACCTCAACCAATTTCTTCATACCAATGATCTCTATGACATCTGGAGATGTAACACGGTTCAGAAAAGGACTACTCTTACTTTTCCCCCATCACAACGTTCATATTCAAGGATAGACTTCTTCACGGACAAATGGACACTACAATGCATATCCTCCTTTAACAATTGGGACTGTTACGTGGTCCGACCACGCACCAGTGTCTATATCTATAGGCCCTCACAATAGTTCATCATCACCCAAACAATGGAGATTGATCATGGAGATTCATCCTCTATCAAACTATATACCAAAATATTAGCCCAAAGATTACTCCCGCCGATCCCAACTTTAATACACCCAGACCAGGTAGGCTTCGTACCAGGTCGCCAGGCTCCTGATGACACTAGACACTTGATCTCCTTAATCCACAATCTACAGGATCATCAAATGCCTTCTCTGCTCCTATCCTACGCAGAGAAGGCGTTTGACAGAATTCATTGGGGATTTATGCGAGAAGTCTTACAAAAGATTGGTATAGTGGGATGGATTCAATGGCCATCATGTCACTTTACTCCTCCCCTTCTGCCAGAGTACTTACAGACGGCATGCTCTCAAGACCATTCGATATCACAAATGGCACCCGACAAGGATGTCCATTGTCCCCAATAATATTCGCCTTCCTCATTGAACCCTTAGCCATAAAAATCCGAGATTACCCACATTGCTCAGGTATTACCTTCCACGGAACTGAACATAAAATTAGTCTCTTTGCTGACGACATCATATTAATGATAACTAACCCCACCCATTCATTGCATAGAATCCGAGAAATTCTAAACTTGTATATGAATGTATCATACTACAAACTCACAAAAATAAATCTTTAATCTTAAACTTGCATACACCAAAAAGCTTCCAAAATATTATCTCTAAACAATACCCCTTTATCTGGGCTAAACAATCTATTCCCTACTTAGGAATCAATTATATCAGGTTCAACATCACTCCTCTATGACTTAAATCACAATGTTTTTACACTCTCTCCCTCAAGAACTCCAATCATTTCGAACATTTAGATTATTTAAACTGGGGTGCATAGCCGCCCTAAAAATTTTCGTTTTGCCCAAACTCCTCTACATTTTCAGAACTCTCCCAATACCTGACCATATACAATTTTTCAACTCCGCACAAAGGCAATTCTCATGTTTTATATGGGAATTGAAAAAACCTAGATGCACAAACAACCTCTTTAGCCGCCCCTATCATAGAGGAGGAGCTAACCTCCACATTTATACAAATACTACCTAGCGGCTCTCCTTGACCAGGTTTACTATTGGCGGCACCCAACTAGGGAAAAAACATGGACTAATATGGAACATGGAATGTTACTACCCATCTACACCACAGTCCTTACATCTGCAATCTATCTCTGGCAAACAATCCCCACACACACACACCCATGTATCAAGGCCTCCCTTGATGCCTTGTTAGCCCTCTGTACGCATTAAAATCTCAACCTCAAAACAAATTTCCACACCCCTCCAAGTCCTTCACTTCTTAAGCCCTGACATCACCGTGACAAATTGGGAAAAGACAGGAATCCACTCCTTGCTTGACTTATACAGAGAGCAGGGTTTGGCTTCCTTTTATTATCTGCAGAACAAATACTCTTTACCAACAAGTGAGAGGTTTAATTACTTCAGAATAATGCTTTGTCTAAATAGAGAACAAATTCCCTGTAGTGTAAATGTACCTCTACAACTGCAATCTTCCTTGCCAATACCAAAATATCCAGGCAAAGGAATATCTTTAACGCTTCATTGACAGATCTATCATCCCAGTCCAAAACATCCTGACTAAAAAATTGGGAATTCCATTTGCCCCAACACATCTCAGAACAAATGTGGCATACTGCCTTTAACAGAACATACAAAGTGTCCCACTGTGCATATCACTAGGAATCATATCTTAAGTTACTGCAGCAGTGGTTCCTGACCCCGACAATGGGGAAAAATAGGCTCCCTTTACCACATAATGTGGTCCTGTAAATCAATCATATTCTGGAATAATATATTCAAAGTGATTTCTGAAATAGTAGGTAACATAGTGAAACCAGACCCAGCTTTAGCTCTGTTCCATATCGGTCTGGATAAGTGTCCCCTAGATACACGGGTAATGATCATCCACATTCTATATGCAGCAATAAACAATATAGCCAAACTATGGAAATCGATGATAACACCATCTCTATCTAGAGTGATTCAAGATCTAAATACCCAATGTGACATGGAAAGAAGATTCTCAATTTCCCACTCCCCCAACCTCAAATTTCGTGCCTCTTGGGCGTCATGGTTGGGTAATACGAGATGTAAAGTTCAAATCTGATAGTTCTAATAACTGGAGTATGACTGGAATATATTGACTGGTAAAGTTCATGTGTTATTCCTATCCATCTCTTCCCATCCCCTTCCCCACCCTTCCCTTATATTCTTCCCATTTTCCCTATGGTTCTCAGTATACACGTTTATAGTAATAATACCTTGTCTAACAGATTTCCTTTTAGACCAAAATTGTCCTAAATGTATAATGACTGATGCTTTAAGTTGTCTGTACAACTGTGAACCTTCTTTTGTTTTGTTTACTACCTGAAATATCAATAAAAAATAAGTTGAATATATAAATATGTAATCAAGGTCTACTAAATGTGGTAATTATGTGGGTGTTTCTACTTTGTCAGCACTTCAGGATCTCATAAATGTGATAGTGAGAAATTCAGATGCAATATTTATCCCCTTGAAAACATGAAGGTGCTTCTTGTAGTTTGGGCCCCTCTATTCATCTAGGCAGTAAAAAAGTCTCACATGTGGTATCCCTGTACGTGGGAGGTGTTTTGGTGTGCTGTTTGCATGAGAAATCCTTTTTTAAAATTACAACTTTGTGAGAAAAAAAACACAATTATATGAAAAAAAAATATGGGAAAAAATTTACAATTTCATAATACTCAGCATGCCTCTTAAAAAATACATTGGATTGTCTGCTTTCCAACAAGGAGTCATTTAGGTGGTATTTGTACTGGAAAGTTATTGCCTCATGAAATAAGATAGGCAGTCAAACATCAGGATTGATCAATTTTCAAATATATATACCATAATTAGCAGGCTCTATAACTATCATACAGATTAAATAATATACATTGAATTGGGTTATTTGTGCCAAAGAAATGTGGCAGAATAAATTTTAGCCTATAAGCTATGAAAATCTTTTTTTTTTTTTTTTAACATATTTGGTTATTTTTGTAGCAAAAAAAATTAATTTCAATCCAGTGGTGATTAAATACTATAAAAAAGGTCTATCTGTCTAAAAATTAATTCATTCAATACTGCACAAAACTGGATCACAGGGGTGGAGCCTTGCTATGGCGGCATAGGAGAGCACGGAGCGGGTGCTCTCCAAGATCCCCACACCGCCCTAGATGCCTGAGGAATTGTAAACCGGGGACCTACCTGAGAGTGGCGGGGCCCGGAGCGGAGTCGGTGATCCGGATTGGCAGTGAGAGAGGACGGTGCCATTGGAGTTCGTTGGAGGCTTGTGGGAAGAGGTCCCGACCGAGTGTGCGGGGCTACTAGGAAGGAGATCTGCGGCGTGACCACGTGGGCAGCCGCGGAGGTGAGTACTGGGGTAGGGAGAAAAGCCGGCCGGCATCCGAGGTGAGAGGGAAGACGCCGGCTCACTACCCCCCCTCAGTAAATGAGCAGACAGCACGCTCCGCTAGGAATGATATATCCAAGAAGAAGAGTGGGACTTGGAGAAGAAAAGACCCAGAGGAATCCCCCTGAAGAGAGCAACTGAAGTCTGGGGTTGCTGTTGGTGGGCCTGTGGCTGTTTCAACCAAAGGAAAAGCAGGTGGAGGGTGAGTGTGAGCAGCTCTAGTTGGCCAGTATTTTGTTTAAAACAGTGACTGTTTTAAAGGAAAAGAAGACATTTGACTCCCTGGGGGTGATAAAATGGATAAAGAGGAATTAGCAGCCACAGAAGGAGAAATATCGTGAAAAAGTTGATAATAAAGGTGGAGTGAAATCAGGTCACAGAAGAGATGAAGAATAAAAATGTCAAAAGTTGTGGGGCTAAAGGGGTCCCAAGGACGAAAAAAAAGTATACGTCCCAAGGAAATGTGACTCCAGAAAGATCTCAAGGTATTGGTGAAAAAAGTGAGCTGGAAATGAGTTTGGAAGCAAGCCCTAGACCAGTGGTTCTCACCTTTCCCATGCCGCGACCCCTTAATACAGTTCCTCATGTTGTGGTGACCCCCAACCCATAAAATTATTTTCGTTGCTACTTCATAACTGTAATTTTGCAGTGGGAGGAGTAGTGCCATGTCATTGGTGTCAGTGGAAGAGTAGTGTTGTGAGCCCCATCACTGATGGAGATAAATAGTGCCCATCATTGGTGTCAGTGGGAGGAATAGTGCCCCATCATTGGTATCAGTGGGAGAATAGTGCCCCACTGATGTCAGTGGGATGAATAGGCCCCATCATTGGTATCCAGTGGCTGGAATTTCAACGTTGGTATCAAAGGGATAAATAGCAGGTGTCAGTGGTGAGGAATGTGCCCCATCATTGGTATCAGTAGTTAGTGCCCCATCACTGATGTCAGTGGGATGAATAGTTCATTGGTATCAGTGGGAGGAATAGTGCCCCATCGTTTAAAGGGGAGGAATAGTGCCCCATCACTGATGTCAGTGGGATGAATAGTGCCCCATCACTGGTGTCAGTGGGAGGAATAGTGCCCCATCACTGGTGTCAGTGGGAGGAATAGTGCCCCATCACTGGTGTCAGTGGGAGGAATAGTGCCCCATCACCTGGTGTCAGTGGGAGGAATAGTGCCCCATCGTTGGTGTCAGTGGGAGGAATAGTGCCCCATCGTTGGTGTCAGTGGGGGGAGGAATAGTGCCCCATCGTTGGTATTAGTGACACAAATGTTGGGGCACTATTCCTCCCACTGACACCAATGATACTTACTTTGCTGACCCCTGCTCAGGGCTCGCTCTCTCACTTACCTGAAGAGATGAAGAATAAAACTCGCTCCGGCAGCTCCCTCGATCTTCTTTGATGTACGCGCGCTGCCGCTAAAGCCGGTGATTGGCCGCCTGTGTGCCTCTCCTGAGCTACAGTTCGGTGGCAAATCAGCGGCGAGGAGGCGGAGCTGCTGAGCGATCCCGGAGGTGTGGCCAGGTGACAGGAGCAGCGTATCATCCACCCACAGATCGCCTGAGACGGAAGCGTATTCGGTTTCCTAAACCATCGGAAATATGTGTTTTTCCAATGGTCTTAGGCGACCCCTGGGAAATGGTCGTTCGACCCCCAAAGGGGTCGCGACCCCCCAGGTTGAGAACCGCCCCTAGACTCTCCCTGGGAACGAAATGTAATAGCCAACAAATATCATTATATTATTTGAGATTCCCGGAGGATTTAAGAGACTTCTGCGACAGACTTGATTAACAAATTATAGAGATTTCTGGTTGGGAGGATGAAGGAGACTGTGGGGCTAGAGGAAAGGAAGATTTGCAGTTAATTAGAAGTAGGAGATGGAGGGAGGGGAGAGATGGAGAGGGTGTTTTTTTTTTTTTTTTTCTCTCTCTCTTTCTTTCTTCCCTCTCTCTCTCCTTTTGTCCTCATGAGGTAGCTCCTTTTGGGGGTCTTAAGACCCGTTGGAACCATATTGAGTTTATGAGATAGATATGGGGCATCTGGGGTGGTGGGAGGTAAGGGAAGCCGTTCATGGGTAGAGTTCAACCCCAAGGTGGTAAATCTATGGTGGGTTTGGACCCTCAAAAGATTTATGTGCAAATTACAAGCCTAAAACAGGGAGGGGTGAGGAAAAAAGTAAGCTTAAAAGAAGGGGTGAGTGGGAGGGAGGGGGGGTAGATTGGAGGGTTGAGGGAGGGTAGGGGGGAGGGTATTAGGGGGGATAGCCTAGAGGAAGAAGAGAGTAATAGAGGCGGAGAGAGAGGGTAGAGAGAAGGGAAAAGATATAAAGAAAATGGAAGATTTATGATTTATAACTTATAATGTGAACGGGTTGAGTTGCCCAGGGAAAAGGTTTAAGTTATATAAGGAATTGCAACAGATCTGCCTCAGTGGTCTTCCTGCAGGAAACACATCTTGAATTGAAGTCAAATGTTAAGTCAAATGTTAAGTTAAATTCTAGACATTATCCATTATGGTATTATGCAAATTCCCCAGTTGAGAGAGCAAAGGGCGTAGCTATAGGATTCGCAAAGAATATAAGGTTTGAGTTGGAAGAGAGAGAGACAGACCCAGAAAGGGAGGTTTTTATTTCTGAGAGGTAAAATACAAGATATTGAATGTACAGTTGCTAATATCTATTGCCCAAATAAGAAGCCGGAGCTATTTTTGAAAAGAGTTTTTTAAAGAGATTGATGGATTTTGGAAAGGGGCTTTTGATAGTAGCTGGGGATTTTAATTGAGGTATGGATCCACAAATGGATACAACTTCTTTTACACAAAGAGAGGGGAGTAAGTCCATAAGAGCTCTGAGGAAAGTGATAAGGGAGTATCAGCTGGTGGACAGTTGGAGAATCATGCACATGAAAGATAGACTATTCCTTCTTCTCAAAGGTCCATGAGATGTTTTTCTAGGTTGGACTATGTACTGATAGATCACCGATTAATAGAGTCTTTAGTTAAAGTAACAATAGAGGTAATGTCACTCTCAGATCATGCTTCGGTTGTAATGAAAGTAGGATGGGGAAAGAGGCCTCCAGGAGGGTTGGTATGGAGGTTGAATGAGGCTCTTCTAATGGATCAAGAGACCGAGCGGAGGATTGGAGAGGAGATTTGGAGATATTTTGAGGAAAATGAAACAGGAGATGTGTCGGAGGCTACAGTGTGGGAGGCCCACAAGGTATATATAAGGGGAATCCTTATTGCAATTGGGGCAAGAAAGAAAAGAGAAAGGAGAGAGAAAATCAGTGGGCTCTTAAAGGAATTAGCGGAGCTTGAACAGTTGCATAAAAAAAATATAACAAAAGAAATAATGCAGAAAGTAAAGAAAAAGAAAGAAGAATTAGAGATTATGATGGAAGAAGAAGAAAGAGAGTCTTTAATAAAGTGTTATGTAAAAGATATAGATGGGGGGGGAAAGAACAGGAAAGTCTTTAATGAGAGCATTGAGGAAAAAGAAAAATAGGAAATATATAGATAAGATAAAAATCCCCAAGGGAGAACTGGTTCATTCAACTAGAGATATTGCGAAGGGGTTTAGGGATTATTATAGTAAACTTATAACATTGCCCCCCAAGATTTAACATATAAGGATGGAATAGCAAAGGCGGAAGCGGAAAAAAGAATATATTTAAAAAAATGCAGGCCTACCGAAATTAAATGAAGATCTGCTGAACTCTCTAGAATCTGAAATTACAAATGAAGAAATAAAGATAGCATTAAAAAAGCTCTATGATAGGTAAAAGCCCAGGACCAGATGGGTATATTGTTAGATATTATAAAAAATACAGTGAATTGTTAATACCTAAATTAAAGCCCTATTTTAACACTTTGGGGGGAGAGATGGACATGAGACGAGAATCATTGCAAGGCTCAGGTGGTCCTCATTTACAAGGACAGAAAAGATCCCACCCAGTGTTCAAGCTATAGACCAATATCATTATTGAATACAGACACAAAGATATATGCAAAGATCTTAGCAAATAGACTGAGGGATTTAATGCCCGAATGGATACATGAAGATCAGGTGGGATTTGTTCAAGGGAGAGAGGGCAAAGACAATGGGTTGAGATCATTGCTGCTTATTCAGAAAAGTAGAAAGGGAAGGACTCCAGTGGTGGTTCTTTCAGTAGATGCAGAGAAGGCATTTGATAGAGTTAACTGGGGATATATGATGGATACATTGGAGGTCCTGGGAGTGGGAGCTAGAATGAGAGCATGGATAGGAAAGTTGTATAGGGGGCCCTCTGCAATGGTTATGGTAAATGGGGAGATGTCGGAGTCATTTGAGATGACAAATGGAACAAAACAGAGCTGCCCGCTGTCCCCATTGTTGTACCTTTTGTCCTTGGAATCACTGTTGGCAACAATAAAGAAAAATTTTAGACATAAAAGGAATATGTGTAGGAAATATAGAACATAAGGTTGCCGCTTTTTGCGGATGATTTATTGTTTTATGTCGGTAATCCTAGGATAACTCTCCCTAACTTAATGAGGGCATTGAAGGATATGGAGAGATGTCAAATCTAAAAATTAACCCGGCTAAAACAGAGATATTAAACATAAATCTTCCCAAATAAGGAAAAAAGGGGGGATACAAGAGGAATTCCCCTTTGAGGAATTAAGATACTTGGGAGTAAAACTCACCTCGGTATATAAAAATCTTTATAAATCAAAACTATATAGTAATGCTAAATGAAATTAGAGAGGAACTAAAGAGATAAGGAGGAGGAAAGCAGTCCTGGTTGGGATGCATAAATTTGATTATAAAAATGGTAGTGGTTCCCAAAATCCTATATAAATTTCAAATGGTCCCTATCAAGATTCCAGAGGTATATTTTAAGATGATTAAAAAGATGATAAGATATATTTGGAGAAATAAAAAACCGAGAGTATCTTATGAAGTGATAACTAGAAATAAAGAGAAAGGCGGATTGGGAGTGCCAGATTTTAAGAGATATTAGAGAATTCACTTAGTGGTAATAATTTAAGTAGGAGTATATGGGTGCCATCAGAGTATAGAGGGTTAAAAGAGAGCACGAGTGTGTACACTTTAAATGTGTTAAGAGTGTGGGATAGAATGCACAAACAGTTAAAGTGAGAACTTAACTCATTCTTGATGCCACTGAGAAATTCAGGGTTTTTCCCGCCAGGTAGGGAGGAAATTTCAGGGAAAATGGATCAAGAATGAGGGAGTCCAGCTGAGAGATATAATGAAAGGTGTAGAATTGAGAACACTTAAGGACTTGGAAAAGGAAGAAGGAAAGATGTTCACTAAGATAGATAGTTGGAGCTATAATCAATTGTTTTGTGGAGAAATTGCCTAAGCCTTTGAGAACTAGAACAGACTGGAATTTGTTTGAGAGGCTGTTGGAATCACGGGGTGATAGAAAGCATGGTACGGCAAAAATATACAAAATTTTCACTGAGTTAGATATAGGTGGAAAAAAATTAATGTGTATAGAAAAATGGGAAAGAGATTTGGGGGTGGAGATAGATGAGGATAAACAGAAAAAAATATATTTAGATTGGCACACGAGAATATAAGTGCACGTGAGGTGGAAATGAACTACAAATGTTTGACACGAGGATATATTACACCGAGTATAGAGCATAAAATGAGTGGGGAGAAATCACCTTTGTGCTGGCGGGAGTGTGGAGAGATAGGCACGATCTATCACATATGGTGGAAATGTCCAAAGATACAAGTATTCTGGAGAAAAGTGGTATATATCAAATTAGAAAGATTACGGAAGCTGATATTAGTTTGAATCCTGGAACCTGCCTTTTACATAATACAGAATTATCAGTAAATAAATATAAAGAATCAGGTGTAGGGTACTTTTTAAATGCAGCCAAGGGTTTGATCCAAAGTTTTGGCGTCAAGTAGAAGCTCCAAAAGAGGAAGACTGGATAGATAGAGTGGACCATATTGTTAGATTGGAGAAATTATTTTATATACAAGAAGATAGGCTGGCGAATTATTATGCGAAATGGAAAAAAATGGGAACAGTTTAGATCAAAGGTGAATAGATGAAAAAAGGTCTCTCTTTATTCCTGCCCATCTGTAATAAGAACACCTTTAAAGCCTCTCTTTCTCCTGCCTAAGAGTGGAAGGCGAAGGGAAAGAACGGGAGGGGGGGTGACTTTAGATTTTGCTAAGGGGAGGGATGGGAGAAATAAGGAAAATATGGGAAATGAGTGAATAATTTGCTTTTTGCTGTTATCTGAATGTAAAGAATTTATATTGTGGATTTTAATTTTCCTAACATTTTGAAAATCAATAAATATCTAAATTAAAAAAAAAATACTACACAAAACTATGATTAAAACCTTTAAGTTTATTACACACAAAAATTA